ACCATCAGGAATAATTAAGCAGATGCACCTTCGAAAATGGTCAATATTCTTAAACAAGTTATTCACAAAGGAGACTATCCAATAGCCAAGGAACTCAGGATAGATTGACTTCATTGCTAACTAGGAAAATGTACATTCAAACACCACAGAACATCGTTACTACAACTACCAGAAAATGACAAAATGAAAATGACAATGACAATATCCCATTTTGCAGACGATAAGGAGCAAAGAGAACTCACTCAGAGAGTGAAGGTTTCCTTGGGAAAACACTTGGGCATGATTTACCGAAGTTGAAGGTATGTGATGCCTACACATGCATCAATCACAAAGACGTGCACAACGGTTCAAAAGTCATACACGAGCAGGGCCGAGTTTACGTGCCTCCCTAATTGCTCAGGAGGTTGGGGAGTCCCGGAGCCTGCAAGGACTCGGGCTCCCCTGCACGTCGTGGGGAAGTCAGGCCTTAAAACAGCTTATTCTTCTCTCGTTCCAGGCTCGGTTCCCGGTCAAAGATGAGGTCATTTGCACTTCGAGCTATTTTCCCACAACCTAGCAGCTCTGGCTTTTTCAGTAATGTTTTTTCTTGACGGAGGACAGAGAGTCGCCCTCCAAAAGGGGGTTCACCAACCCTAACCGTCCCGATGCCCTTGGTCGTGCCTGCTAAGGACACTAGATGGAGCTGCTTCGTTTCCTTCCCTCCGTCTCTGGCGGCGCGGCCGCGGGGCTCAGCACCTCCTGGCACCCGGAGCGGCGCCCTGGCACTGCCCGCAGGACCAGGAATCATCGCCCGCCAACCAGGAGCCACCTCCAGGAGACGCGGTCCCCTGCCAGGGTGGAGCGCATCTTTCCCCGGACAGCTAGGGGGCTTCGGAGCCTTCTGGCCCATTCTGTTCTTCTTCTGTCCCTGGGAAGCCAGAGATCAAGTAATTCACTGCCTTTCCCTTAGGGACTCAACAGAAGCAGAATCCATACCTTGATTTTCTCCTTCTCAGCAGCAAATATATCCTGGTAGCATACAAAGAAGGGCTCAGTGCATGGGTATTGTCTGCTGAGAAACATTACATCATCACAGGGAGATGGGCTTAGCAGGATTCCTCTGCAAAGCCCCTACCTGTGTCCTGGGTCACTCTCCTCTCAGGCCTGGCTAGCTAGCCCCCAACAGGGGGATGGAGACTCAGACACCCTGGAGGGCTTCGCTGTGATCTCTGCCTGGCGACCAGCCGTTCCAATAGACCACAGCCACCATCACATCCTCCGCTGTTTTCTCTTCCGTTTATTTGTTCCCTTCTTTATTGCTTGTCACTGCACTAGACTGTGACTTCCCAGGGAACCTTGTCTATTCTAAGCATTGCCCTCGTGCCCTGGAATAGTGCCGGACACAGAGCGGGTACTCAGTGAACACTCTGTGGATTGGATATCCATCTGTGATTCTGAGCTCCACCTGGATCGATTCTGTTTATGGGTCCCCTCCTACCTGTACATGCTGTCCTTGTTCCACAGTTTTAGTCAACTCATTTGTGTAACTGTAGCCCTTCCTTGAACATCCCTGAAAAATTCCTGCAGAAGATGCCTCTGCTGTGAAAGCCTCCTCTCTGTGAACTACATGTAAACGGTTGGAGGGTTGGAGTTTCATGCATTAGTATTTCATGGATGTCACGGTTGCTTGCTGCCCTCTCACCTGACCAACACAAATATCCTCATCACACAAATCTCTGATATTTTAGGCCAGGATCTCACTGTCACTTCTTTTTTTACATCTACGTGTTTTGTTGATTTGTTTTGCTGGTATTGGGGATCAAACCCAGGACTTCATGAATGCTAGACCAGTGCCTTACCATCAGAAAACAATGTAACTTTCTTAGTGATATTTTTATGCAGGATAACTCAACTCTTCCTAGTTCCTAGTCCCAAACTGAACGCTATGTCCAGGACTGCCTACTTAGACCCCATCAACAAATTATCCAAACTGAAGAAACAAACCCAAAGGTCAGAGACAAAACAATGCTCTCTTACAGTACTGCCTCAACTCTTTCCCTTCTTTGCAACCAAGATTTTCTCCTGCTTATCTGAGTCTGTTGTTTGGCCTTTCTGTTTTCCCAAACACTAAAGACCCAGTCTCCTTCCTATCTCCCTATATTTTTTATCTAGAATAGAAATCATTTAAGAGATGATAGGTGGTAACCTTGAATAACATAAATAAGTCCTCTAAAAGTCTTGAGCCAGAAGCCTAGGCAGAGACTGGGGGTGGGATTCCTCACCTTGGCATTTGCCTAAAGAGATATTTGTGGTGTCTGTATTATCAGACACCTACACCTATCTGTAGGTTTCTTATTTGTAAGATGCAGAAGTTAAAATGAGTCATCACCTTCGTTTTTGAATTTCCTCAGCTCCCTGTGGGCCTCTTCTGACCTTTTAATGTGTTAAATAAAGTTAGCAGTGAAAAGCAACAAATGCTATAATCCCAGAGTCTTAACTACATCTATTAGGCTTCTTTTCCATTTGCTCAAGTCCAAGGCAGATTCTACACTTTCCCTATAATTATTCAAAGGTCCAGGCCCCTTTTGCCTGGTGAATCCTTCTTCATCTTAGTCCATTTGCAGCTGGCAGGTAGAGAAACAGACGGTAGAGGAAATATATCTGTTTTTGTACCACTTGCCCCTTGACAAGATTCTTCCGCTCATATTCCATGGGTGAGAGGCAATCCCATGGTCACCTAGGGGTAAGGCCCCCTGGCTGGCAATGCGGGGGGAGGGTGTAAGTCTTTTGTGGTCAACCATCTTTGTGATATCTCTGAAAACTCAAATCTGTATCTGAGAGTCACTTATAGTTGACCTCTCTACCTTCTTCTGGAATCATTTCTCAATTTTTAGGCCCAAGACTTCTACTGTTAATTTCTTATAATTCTTCCACTGTTTTCCCTTTTCTTAAACTTGTCCTCCAGCTTAACATTTTTCTATCTCTTGGGAACAAATAATTTGTTTGGGAGAATCTATATGTTGGTTTTTTTTCCCCAAGCCGTGTCTTCCTACTACTGAGTCCTCTCCATGAATGGGCTGTCATATTGTCTGGAGTCTTCTCTACCTGGAGAATCCTGATTTCCCCTGCATAGCCAGGGGCTACATTTCCCAGCATCTTCCACCTTCTACATATGCCTGGATGGCCCAAGTGTGTGGATTTCACCGATGGAACATGAGCAGAGGTTCCAAACAAAACATGGGTTCTGTAAAGACCAAGAATTTGCGAAGCAGAGGTATCTTCTCCATAGTCTTTTTTCTCACTTACCTGCTGTCAAGAGGTAAGACGATCCTCTGAGTGGAGGTGACCTGGGCTTGGAAAGGTCGTAAGATCATTCAAGGCTCATGGGCTGCTGGTCCACTTTCAAGATAGTAGGTTCTAGAAAATGGTGCCAGTATATGAAAGTTAGCCCCGATGGAACGCTCTTTTTTCTAATTTCTGCCCTTTCATCTAGCCACTGTCCCCTGTTTATATTTTTCTTTTTCCTAGGTTAACTATTAAAGGCTTAAGCCTTTTTAAATGATTTCTTTAATAAAAGAGACTTTAAACTGGGAAATAATTCAAAATCCAAAAAAGGAATTTGTCATGTAGAATTAAAACACTGTGGTAGGAAGGGAGAGAGAAATATTTTTGGAAAAAAAGTTACATTTCGCTAGTTAAACATTCTATATTTACTATTATGTATCATACACTGTGGTAAGTGCTACATGCATACTTTCATTGAACTTGTTTTTCTTTTACAAACTTACGAGTTAATTTAATTTTTGTCATGCTCAACCTTGTTTCCTTAGGGCCCCCAGCCTGTTGGATGGTGCTGCCTACATTCAGAGCTAGTCTTCCCTGTTTAGCTCAATAACACATGTGCCAGCTGTCTCTGGAACATCTCGCAGACTTGCCCAGAAGTATACTTTACCAACTGTCTCTTAATCTAGTCAAATTGACGAGATTAACCATCATAATATGTGCTCTATGTACTCATAAATCCTACATAACTGAGCTGAGCAAATTCTCAGAAGACGATGCTTAATAACCATAAATCTGAATAATGTATGCATTCTAATCTTTTAAATCTTACACATTAACTACCCCTTTAGTTCCTAAACCTAGTAGTATCAGTGTCAAGCAAGAGAATTTGATACTGTATCCAAATTTCTGGGAATAAGTTTTATAAATGTCTGTTTTTAACAAGCTTCCCCAGGGATTCTAAAGCAGTCAGCTTGTTCTCACCCTGCAGACTGGCATTTAAAAACCAATGGACCACTCTATCTTTATTCTTCTCGAGAGTCTCGTAATATCTTCCTTTCTTCATATCCACGCCTCCTTAACTGTTTTCCCTTAGTAGCCAAGTAACCAAGTTGGGCCATCCTGAGATTCTCACCACGAGACAAAGATATGCTCACAAAGATATGCTCACAGTCTTAGCAATGGGAAGCTCTACTAGACATCAGAACTTTTCCTGCCCACCACCCCTACTTGCAAATTGGTGACTATTTCTACAACTTAAACAAATATAGAGACATACTTGCTAGATTTGTTTCACCATGTCACATATTTTAGCTGGTGATAGACCTGGAGTTTGGCTTTTATGTCTACTTGGTGTTTGGCACTCTCTTGTTCTCAGATGATCTGAATTTGCTGTTTGATCATGCTGACCCCACCTGCAACATCCTCTTCTAGGAAGCATTTTTAAAGAGGCTGTTAAAGTAGAACAAGCAGACTCAAGAGAACTGCCATCTGCTTTCCACGCTGCAGATGCCCACATGAGCCTTGAAAAATCTAGCAGGAGAGGAGGTGGAAGATCCTGTGGGCTGGCTGATAAAGGAAGAAAGGAAAGAGGGCTTTTTCCCCTTAATGTTCCTACATTTGGACCTCATCATCATATTTTGAGAGAGAAAAAGCCAACTCTCACTGCTAGATGAAAAGTCTGAAACATCTAGAGTCTTAAGTAAGCAGCCTGAGTTTTACATTTCATATTCCAGGGACACACATTGTATGGCCACCTTCACAGCTCCTGAAGCTGCACAAGAAGCAGTTCTTATCTAATCACTCTGGGTTTTTCCTCTTGCTTTTGCTTTCAGTATGACAAACTCCTAGTATGACAAAAGGAACAAGAAGACTTTCAGGTAGAGTATGCATGTGTAATTTTAATCTTGACTATGTTACATGTCATATTTTTATATAAAACATGATTATTTCCTACTTTTGACAAAGTACAAGCTAGACTGTGAACATGGAATTTGATTTATGAAATTCAAGATTTTAGAGCTAAAAGAAATTTTGGAGATCTAAATAGTCCATTTGGGAGGGTTAAAACCCAGAGGCAAAAGTGATTTGAGCACGTAAGTAAGTTAAGATCAGATCTATAGTGATCTAAGTGGTGGGACCACAGATCTCTCTTAAAAGAAGAATTTTTTGCTAGCACATATGCAGCAGAAAGCCTTCAGGCATTGATCTGTTTAGGGTTTGCCTCAGATACCCGGAAACAAACTTGTCCTTAGTATCCCATACTCAATAACTGATTGAGATGGAAGTATAGGTTTCATGTGGACACGCTGGTGGGTTGTTTCATCGTCAAGACTCCTGGGACTGGCTGAGACTATCAGATCAACTTTGGACCTGCTTTGTATCTTGATTTTTTTCCCTTCTGAAAATGTTGACCCCAAGGGCACTGCAGAACAAACTTCCTGTACACTGCCCTTCATCTTGGAGAGTGCTTCCAAGAAAACTCAGTCTGGAATAAGAAATAAAACAAAATTTCTGTAGTTTGGTTCTTGCTAAAATTGCCATGCTGTGAGTACTTGTGTATGTGTGTGTGCACATGTAATATATATGGATATATGTCTGTGTGTACTCCTTTTCTCCTTGCTTCCTAAGAGCGTTCCCTTTGGGAGATGGAAAAATAGCTCCTAATTTTTTTCCAGCATGAGCTGCCAGCTTTTGCTTCTCTAGCAAGATAGTGGTCATTCAGACTCAATGAATAATGTATCTTGCACTGCCATGGGTTAGCCCAGTTTGTGAAAGATTAATACTGACTTCATATCCTCGTAGTGAATGTGTACCTCATCAAAAAGCAAAGAATGTTAAGAAAAAACTGTTAAGGAGCCTGCCGTCTTCTACCCTGTCTACTGCAGTGACCCCAGACACCCAATCTGAAGTGGCCCTCATAAAAGCCAGAGAAGTCTATCATACATCAGAAGCATTCTCTGTCTGTCGGTCTGTCTCTGTTTCTGTCTCTCTCTACATCTTCCTCACCTCGACTCTCTTCGTGGTTTTGACACTGCCTGTACTCTGTAGAACAAGACAGCAGTAGGAAAGTAGTCAGCCCTGGTACCATCTTAGCTGCCGGTCTCTCTCCTGGTTTCTTAGCTGTCCTCTGCCTCACTCCTAACAAGCCTGACCATGCATCAAAGACAATTACCCCCAACAAGCCTGGAGCAATAGTTCTTTGTTTTTTTCATTTCATTGGATATCATTTATGAGTGGAATCATATCAGATTATTTGCTTAAGTTCTCTGACATTCAGTATCCTTGTTAGAAAATGGAAATCATAGTGGCCAGCTTGAAGAGTTGTTAAGAGGACTGAATGAGATCCTGTTGTGAGAGAGGGCCAAGCCCAGGGTTTGACCATGGTGTACGTTCAGCTCCAATAGATCTTTCTTATTGGCAATGACCTTTTACCTCACACTGTTCTCCCCTCCCCATAGACTAGCTCAGCAAAGAGACTGCCTCAAACTTTTTTTTTTAATTTCAAAAGAAATGACTACGTTATATAACTATAGGATCTTCTCCATTCTCAGTCCAGATATGTATTAAATCACATATCTTTCCTAACATTCCTGTGAGCCTGGTATTTTACTCTGCAGTTATGTTACACCTTGTACTTTAGAATTGAAGAGACTGAGGTAGAGGAGACTGTGGAGGTGGCTCTAACTGCCTCTGGATTTGACTCTGCCGTACTGGTAACATGACTTGTGCATCCCATCTGCACTGTTGGCTTCTTATCTATAAAATTGAGACATTGCATCCTCTCAAAGGTCTTTTCTCCCTCTAAAATATGCTAATTCCATGTTTGTATGTTTTTCCATAAAATTGAATTTTGAATTTCTTAAAATATTTCTTTAACAAAAATCAAAAAGGACTATTACAATGAAGACCTCAGCATTTGTCTAAAGACACAGAGTTTGTCTTTGGAGTGATGAACTTATATTTCAAGCAAAAAAAAAGAGTAAGATATTTATGGTTACGCAAGTCACTATATTTCAAAAATAAAAATAAATGTAAAGGCTCAGAAGAAGGTAGAATGTGAAAAAGATTTCAAGGATAGGTAAGTGAAGGATCAGGCAAGGGAGTTGAATACCACAACACATTTTTCCCTTTTAGAGGACCATCTGCTGAGATTCTGAACATGAGAACACAGTGGGATTTGAAGGATCTGGAATAAATGAAGTGAAAGAAATGCTGAGAAATCTTTAGACAGAGCAATTTCCAGACAAAGTGAAAGGAAGTCATGTGATCTGGCCTTCTGGTCCAAGGAAAGAATATGGGTAGACTGTTGAAGGTTCTCTGGCTGGAAGGCATGATTCAAGGACCAGAGTGAGAGTGCCTCATGGCAGCGGGGAGAGGGAGAGGTCAGGGACACAGGAATGGGAGCGGTGGGGCTCCATCGTGGGAGCACAGAGTGTGTGCTGCATCACACAGAACGAAGCAGCAGCATTTTAAGTGAAAGAACTATGCAACACGAAACTTTGTGATCTCCAGATCATTTACTTCTCAGGAGCCTATTTATACATGAAGATGTTGAGGCTCCTGGAACTGGGGGACTTCACAAAGATCAGTGCTGTGGGAATCGCTGTGTTGAGGCTGAAACACAGTGTGATTTTTAAAACACAATTGCTCAGAAAATATTCTCTCTCTTTTTTAAATGTGAGATTAATAACAAGAAAAATTCTCCAAAACAATGACTAAATGGTAATTCTTGGACTTTCCAGCAATGCTTTGAAAGTTGTAGGATTAATTTGCCATTTCTTCTAACACTGACTTGATTTTTATGTGTATGAAATTAGAAATAAGCTAAATTAATAACTAAACCTATTTTGTTTTTATAAGTCTTATTTAGGCTGTAAGACTAATAACAAAAAGTATCTAAAATACAAGCGTTAAAATGATAAAAAGTATATATTTAAGAAACTTGTGAAATACAATCCCTCGCCTTAGAAAGAAGCAACAGTGGCACAAGAGCTTGAAAAATTGGAAGAAAAAAAAAGAAGGGAGAATAGAAAAACAACCAGTGGTTATTTCTGGTAGTTGTAATTTTTAAAATCTTATGTGTTATAACTGAAAAGGAATGAATCAGAATTGAAATTGATTCATCAGTGAGAAATAAAAAAGGGTATGAGTTTTCAGTGAATTAGTTTTATTTGTGTGCTACAAATTAATTATTATTTAACTGTACAAAGATATGGGGAACAGATGATAATTAGAAATAAAAAGTGTGTAAAGATTCAACAAGGTAGATAACATTGAAAAGGAAGATTTAATTTGGCTTCTAGGTCTACTGCAGTTCTTCACATCTCATTTTCAAAAATGCCAAAAATATGCAAAGAGAAAAGTAGCAAAATGCTTGGAAAACTATTTTTATAATTTGAAACAGGTTTATAGCCAGGCCTTGGTCTCTCTTTGTAGCCAGTAAGAATTCACTGAATGTGTCTAAGAGAAGGGGCTGTGTTATCATTTGTTTCCTTTTCTGTCTTAAATCAGATTGTCACTAACAGTCTCTGCTTTTCTGAGAGACCCGTCGTCTGTGAGACCTCCCGAAATGATGAACTCTGTGTACTTGAAGGAGGTCAGAAAGGGAGAAAGAGAAAGGGCCTTTGCTTTTGCCTTAATCTATTCCTGCTATTATAAGAATATAGACTAGATAGCCTATAAACAGAAAAGCAGAAAAAGTATTCCTCACACTTCTGGAGGCTTGAAATCCAAGATCAAGGTAATGGCAGTTCAGTGTCTAGTGAGGTTTCTAAGATGTTTCTAAGATGGGATCTTGTCACGTCCTCAGATGGCAGATGAGGCAGAAATGGATGAACACTGTATAAAGTGTCTTTCATAAAGGCCTCAATCCTGTTCACGAGGAAGGAGGCAGCATGACCTGATCGCCTTTTAAAGGTCCCACCTTTTATAGTATTGCATTGGGGATTAAGTTTTGACATAAATTTGGGAAGGAGCACAAACATTCAGATCATGACACCTTTCTTCCCCTGTGAATGAAGACATTAACCTGCCATTGGCCTCTGACATGTCAGGCCTTGTGAGTAGCTTTGTACTTACAGAGAACAGAAAAAGGTAAGTGGCTGAAGTTGACCTGCCTTCACTGTTTGGAATTTCTCCCAGCCAGGCCCAAAATACCCAAAAACTGACCATAGCCAGGTCAGTGAGCTATCTGCAGAAGGCAGAACTCTGGTGGCCCTGAGACCCTACTGAAATGAAAATCATGGTCAAAACAGTGAGGATTTGAGTCAACTCCAAAAGTCAGATATTCTTGCAAATAACCTTTCTGAGAGGGGCATTATGGTGATGGTACCCTTACACTATCTTGGCTCCTATGCACTCCTTTTTTCGTGGGTACCAGGAACTGAACTCATGACTTTGTGCTTGCCAGGGAGATGTTATGCCATGGAGCTATAGCTCCCGCCCTGCCATGCAGTTCTTGAACCCACCGAGGCACCAGCTGCTCCTACATTTGAACCATGTATCTATAGAGAAGTTCCAGATATACTGAAGAGTAGTTTTGAGTTACTCCTTTGTAGCACTTAGAGTTAAAGGTTGAATCATTTGGAAACTGGACTGATTTAAAGATAATACTTTTAGTAAAGACTACTCCCTCAAACTTATCTCTTCATCTCCACCATCACTTTGTTTAGACATCATTATTGCTCTTTTGGATTCCTATGACTGCTCTTAATTAGTTTTGTTGCTTCAAATCCCTCCTCTTACCTACCACCTCAAGAATCTTTATGCAGTAACAAGCTGCCTAAGGGCCTCTCACACTGTCAGCCCTGCACTAACTAACTGCCTTTTGTTCCTGTTGGGCATGAAGACCTGCTGTAGTTCTATTTCTGAGTTTTTTTTTTTTTTTGATTTTTCCTTTTTATTGGTACCAGGGATCGAACTCATGACTGCCTGCTTGCAAGGCAGGCGCTTATGCCGCTGAGCTAAATCCCCAGCCCTCAAAGATTTTGCTGAGTTTTTTTTTTTTTTTTTTTTTTTCCTTGTAGTTCTATTTCTTCTGACTAGTTCTCTTCTGATCACCCTCTCTTCCTACTTCTAGCCCTCAACTCCTAGTCAGCCATTTCCTGTATGACTTACTGACAGCCAGTGTGGACTTGTTTTAAAATGTCAGGCCCAACGTCACCCCTTACAGGATGACCTACCTCTCTGACCCCTCTCTCTAGGTGAAGCATCATTTCACCCTTGACTTTGCTGTGCACAACTCTACCTCCCTCTCTAGAAGATGAGCTCCTGGAAGCTGGGGACTGCCTGTCATTCTTGCATCCTAGGAGTCTGGTCCACAGGTTGACACTTGCAAGAGGTCAACCCATGTTTGGGGAGTGAAGGATCATCGATCTTCACACACAGATGGAACTGCCTGTCACAAGTAGCCAGATCTTGCTGCTTCTTCCATTTCCGTTACCTTACTGAGGCCAAGAGGGTGCCAGGACTCCCTAGGCTCCCCTTGGCACCCAGGAGGAGGGTGAGAGGGTAGTCTTTGTTCTTCCTCCAGATGGCTAGACCTGGGATGAAGCCCAACAGCTGTGTTTGGGTGGAAGGCTAGAGGGCAGATGGCCTGCTGTCTGTTTACAGACAGCCTGGGCAGTCACAGCCCTGGCACAAGGCATTCTCCGAGGTAACTCAACAGGACAGTGGTGGAGTGGGGAAAACGCCAGGACAGGCTACTATATTAGCATTCACTGCCACAACACTGGCCAGTGTTATGATTTTGAGGCTGTGAAGAGCAAATAATTTATGTATAAAGCTCTCATATTCCTGGTGTGGCTTTTAACACTGCAATCCAAACAAAGCCTTTCTTATATAAAAACTCCCTTAATTACTATCATTTAAAAATTGGTTTAACACGAGCAGGCCTCATTAGATTTCAATTTCGTTTTCTGGAAATGTTGGCAGTCACTGAATTATTCACCCAACCAATGCTGGCGGCAGGGGTGGTGATCAGGAGAGTGGGGGGCTTTCACATTGCCCAGAATATTTCGAATCAGAACATGACACAAAGCCCAGTGATTTGTGCCAGGGCAGAAGTCACATGCTTAGACTTAAATGTATTCACTGATATTTTCATATCAGAAAACTCTTTCATTTAAAGGTGTTTGTATATGTGTGTGTGTGTGGTGATCAGAATTCTTGGAGAACCAAGGGGAGAGCTAAGGGCAACATTAGCACCATCTTACTGACTGCTTTTCCTCTCTTGAGCCATGAGCAGTCAGTCCAAAAAGCAAAGTACTTGTGGATACCAATTTATGCACACACTTAGGAGACCGTCCCCTCCAGATCTATGATTCTCTGATCATCTTCTTGGATCTTCTTTTTCCTAATTCAACATTCAAACTCTGACTTGAAATCACCTTTCAATTTCTACAGGTAGTAAAACCAAGAATTTGAATAATAGACTATCACTGTGCTATGATACTATATCAATGTCCCTGCCCAGAATAATTTTCACACAATAACAAGGAATCAAAGTCTACTGAGAATCAATTGGCAGCATCCCAATGAGGAAGGTAGAATGGTCTTCTTTTCTCCCACCAACACTAAAATGCACATTTCTACTTACCAGGTAGAGGAGAACATCCAATGTCTGAGCACCCTGCTGTCCACATTCTTCAAGACACCTGCAAAGGAACACAGCTGTACCCAGAGGGACTCTCCAATTTCCTTCTTGTGGCTGATACCATGATGCCTGCTCAATAAGGTTTCCCAGCTGCCAGATAAGCTTTAGCCTCAGCTGTCCAACATGGTAGCCTCTAGCCACATGTGGCTACTACAAAAAAATTTTTTATATCAAGTAAAATTAAATATATGAAGTATTCAGTCCCTCAGCTACACTAGCTGCATTGTGTAGGCGCACAGCATTTCTACCAAGGCAGAAAATTCTATTTGAGAGCGAGAGTTGCTTAAGACTAACCAGGCAATTCCCTCCAGCGTCGGCTCATGCCTGCTTGATTTTATGACTGAATTGACCCATTGTTTGGATTTATTAATCGGTTCAGTTAGACTAACTGTGCACTTAGACAGCTGTGAGGACAAGACAGAAGACACTTGTTCCATAAAATGGTACTAGTAAAAGTGTGAACAATAGCAATAGCTGACATTTATTGATCACTTGCTCTAGGCACTGTGCTGATCACTTAACCTGTGTTATCTCATAATCTCCACAACAGTTCTGTTATTATCCCATTTAACAGAGAGAAAATTAATAGCGGAGTTAGAAAGGGTCACCCACACCCGCCTGTTACAGTCCTCTTAGTTCACAGAGCTTGGGGTCTGCAACTGGCCTGCCTGGATTCAGTTGTATGGCCTTGCGCAAGTAACTTACCCTCTTTGTGCCTCAGTTTCTTCACCTGTAAAATGGAGAAAATAGTAGACTCTATCTTATAATGATTATCAAGTTTCAACATGAGTAATTTGTGTAAATAATTAAGAAACTAGTAAATGTTTATTGCTTTGATTATTTATTGTAGGTGAGAAAATTTCAGAGAGATTAATGACTTGTCCAGGTTTGCAGGTAACATCAGCCTCCTAGTCTTTCCATCACATTAAACGAACGCCTCCTGCATATAACTCACACTGTGCCCTCTGTTTTGTTCCACAAGCTTTCATCACCTTGACTCTTTTTATCTTAATGACTCAGTAGCCAACAGCTTGTGTTACAAATGACATCTGCATTTTTGCTTTGGCAAGGTCTACAGTAACCGTCCCATGGAAACAACCAGTTTGTGGGGTTTTCTGGCTTGGTGACAATGCAGAATCACCTAGATGATCTCCAAGGTCTTGTTGCTTCCAGTTGTATAAGAGGATTAGAGCTAATCATCTGTAAGATAAGAGAGAATGGATCCTTTAACTCACTTGTTTGAATCTTAAGATTGGGATATAAAAATATTGATCCTACAGAAGCTGAGAGCACAATGATGGAGACCATAGAGAGGACAGAGAAGGGCGGAATGAAGAGACGTTGATCAATGGGCGCTAAGTTATAGTTACCTAAGCATAAGACGCTCTAGCGTGCTATCATAGAGAAGCATGGCTATGGCTAAAAATGTACTGGATATTTTAAAAAGTTAGAAAAAAGCATTTATTTTTGCCTTAAAGAAATGATAAATGAGGTGGTATATGTATCTTTAACATGATTTAAACATTACAATATATTCATGTCTGGAAACCATGTGGTGCCCTGTAAATATTTGTGAGTTTTACTATTTGCCAAAAATAAATTTAATTTTAGAAGATTGCAGATAGATAATAGCTGAGGAAGAAAAATAACACCACAAAGATGAGCTCATTAGACAACCCCATCCAAGCGGTTACCTAAGCAGAGCAGTTTGTCTACATGGTGTAAACCTTTGAGTACTATTTGTCTCTCTGAGTCAAGTGGGTATGATAGTGTGGTTTCCTGGTGTCAGGTCTTCCCTCAAAGGCTAGCACCCCTGTGCTAACCAGAGTGCTCATGCTGGAGTTCTTTGGTTTCTTAAGAGGTTGTCACCTCAGTGAGGTATGTGAATTTGACTCTGCTTTGGGACTGAAAAGGAAATTCCTTTTTAATCTCAACACTAAAAATGGCTGGGCAACTCCTGAGCAACCAGTTGGTCTCTATTTTATGGGCACTGAGTACATAACTCATAGTATTTTCTTCTTGTTGACTCTTAGGACGCTCAGCACCAGATTTGCAGCCCACTTCTAGAGAAGCCTGCATTTTAATATTGAAACAGCTATCACTGCACAAACCAGGTAAACCCTAGTTCACTGTCTCACAAAGTTGAAGAATGAATAGCAGACAAAAAGACTTATTGGAAATAATGGGGAACCCAGACAATGGGGTACCAGAATGGTTTTTTATCCTGGTCTTATAGGATAAGTAGAGCACAGGAAGCTTTGCAATGTAGATTTACTTTTTAAATTAAATACTCAGTTGCCTGAGTTTAAAGGAAACTGGTTATTTTGTATTTATAACATTCCTTAAAGTCCAGCCCAGAGGTAGAAAGTGGTTGTTAACTTGGTGTATTCTACATAAAAAGTATTTTCCTGAGAGTTGGAGCTCTTACCTTAACTCTTTACCTTTTATCTTGTGTTTTCCTTTAGATGTCTAAGCTTACCTAACTACACAGTTTAAATTAGCTCTCAACTCAGTGTGTTGTATTTTTTGCATCCACCTGGCTCTATCTTAAGCCTCAGCTGACTCTGTCTTAGGTCTGTCTGTTGCTGACAGACTACTTACCAGCTAACTTACTAAACTGCCATCATTTGGTATATAAACTTTACTCCTAGGGACATTTGCACACTTTTTCTCATTCTTATTTTTTCATTGTTTAACTCTTTTCTGTACCAGGCAGCATATAGGACATAAAAAAAGATGATCTCTGGTGTCATGTCCATACCAAGAAAAAGATCTGAACTCCCCAATTGATTTGATTTTCTCCAAAATACTTACGTCTTCTCATTTCATAGCTGAGCAAAACAAACAATTGTGGACTCCATTGTTCCCTGTGGTATAATGCCAATTGGAATGTTGTACAGAAAACATTGTGTTATAGGAAAGGGAGAAGTCATTGGCTGGTGTGTGTGTGTGTGTGTGTGTGTGAAGGTTCAAAATATTAAAAATAAAGATTTAGAATTCAGATGGTTGAAGCCCCTCTCCATCAGTCAGTACCATTTGCAGACTGTGGAAGGACACAACCAGGCCTCACCAGGAGGTGATTCCTGCTTGGAAACCAGCATCATGCACTGGTTGCTGCCAGTGTGGGGACAGCCAGACCCAAGCCTCTCTCCATGAGTCAGCACCATTTGTGGACTGAGGAGGGAGAGAACAAGGCCTCAACAGGAAGCAGTTCCCACCTGGAAACCATATAATTTTCATTGTTCTGTTGGGTTGGATTTTATTCTCTTTTGTTTTGTTCGATTAGGTTAAATCTGCCAGCATGAGCAGCTACTCAAAAGATCTCAAGACATTTATTACGGCAGCCATTTTGGGTTTCCTGTTGGCTTGTTTTGAAGTCCTTTATTGCATTCATTGTTTTGTTTTTATTCTATTCTGTTCTGTTTGATTTTCACTATGGCCAAAGGTATCTGCAGCTATTTTGAAGACATCAAAAGGCATTATGGTAACTATGGCTGATTTTGTAAGATTTTGAAGTCCTGTATCACATATACTGGTTTATTTTGATTGGTTTTATTATGTTTTGTTTTCTTTGGTTTTATTCTCTTTAAATTAAAAAAAGAAGAAAGCAAAATATAGAGTTTAATCAGTTCCATTTAGTGAAGTAAAGAAAAAATGGGTCCAGATAATATGTTAAGAAAGAAAAAAGATTAAACTTTGATAACAGAAAATAAAGAATTCAGATGGTTGGTTGACTTGACGACCCTGAAGATAAATTTGCCTGCCTGACTGTTTTTTCCTGAGCCATTCTTGAGCACCTGTCAACCCCATCTGGCATAGGTATGCAGGGAAGGCCTTCTGCAATGCAATGTGAAACCTACTTTAAGTGCTGAACAGCACTGATTGCCAGACTGTTATGTGCATGCAGATCACTGAAATCATTAAAATGATTCTGATCAAGTGAGTCTAAGGTGGAGACTGAGAATTTACATATCAACAAGCTCCTAGATGATGCAAATGCTTCTGATCTAAGGTATAAGCTTTAAATATCACATATCTGTAAGATTTATGTGTCGGCATTAGCAACTGAGGATCCTAGGCTTAGTGTTCCTGAGTCCATGCCATTGGTTCCAGTCTTGGTAGTCTAGATTTCTGAGGTTAACCTCAGTTTTTTTTTCAAGTAGTGGATTTTTATGCCTTGCTAATGGTAACATAAAATGCAACAGTCTATTTCGAAGAGTCTTGGAGTCTCAGAATGCTAAACACAGAGTTATTGTATGAGTCAGAAATTCTACTCCTAGGAATATACCCAAGAGAAATGAAAGTATATGTCAGCAAATTACCTGTTCACAAATGATCATAGCCACATTAATTTATAATAGCCCAAATGTGGGACTAACCCACACAAACTGATGAATGGATTAAAAAAATATTCAGGCAAGAGAATATTATTCAGCAATAAGTAGAAGATCCTGATGCATGCCACAACATGGATCAAATTGAAAATTTATCAAGTGAAAGAAACCAATCACAAAAGGCTATATATTGTATGATCGTATTTATATGAAATTCCCAGAATAAGTGAATACATACAGACAGAAAGTAGGTTAGTGGTTTCCAGGGGGTTCAGAAAGGTAGGGTGGGTAACAGCTGCTAATATTACCAGCCACTTACCTCTAGACAGGTTCATTTGCTAGCTGTTGACCAAATCAAAGTGGTAGTTTTTCTTGGTGAAAAGGGAAAAAAAAATTATTCAAAGATCTCTATGGAGCTAGTGGGGCCTCTTTTTCCTATAATCACCATCTCACTGTGTACAGGTGTGTGGGTCTCTGGAGCTGGGAACCGAACGGGGACAGAGAGGGATGATACACATGTCCAGCTCACACTGTCACTCCCAGACGTTTTCAGCTCTCATCCCAAACTGGGTTCTGAGCTGGAGCCAGCATCTCCATATTCTGTCACTTCTTCTGGGCTGAGGGGAGCACTCAGGTTTGGTTCTGCACTTAGCCGGAGAAAACTTGAAATGCTGCTTATCTCCGAAAGAAGAAAAAGCTGTTTCTCTCTTACAAAATAATCTGACTCTTAAGGTTCTATTTTGCCATGTTGGTTACAGTACTGGTAGATGTTTTATTGGGGGGGGGGGTGGAATGGGAAGGTTTTAAATTAGTAATTTTTTTACAACTCTGTGAGTATGCTACAATACACCGAATTACATACTTTAATACGTGTCATAACATGTGAACTATATATGAAAATTGATAAAAAGTCTTCTGCGTTAGACGGGTGAAGTTCTCAGGAGACCTTCTGGCCACCTTCCACCTGGGCAGTGGTTCTTTTATGCTTCCCTTCTCCTTTAGAGAAATTTTGCACCTCATGTTATGCTTCTGCCTATCTTGGCAATATATCTATGTTGAAAGTGATCTCATCCTAGATTTTTTGAGAATGCTAAAGTAATGTTTTTTTTCATTAATTGTGGAACCTTGGAAAATTTTCAAGACCGAATCTAATTAATGGAGCCTTCCATCTGATGTTGTGACAGAGGACATCACTACGTTAGTAGTGTCAGCAGTGTTGTGGCAACACGGCTGCTAGATTTGAGTTAAAGCAGGTATAGGAACTCAGGTCAACTGACTTTCAATTCCCACTGAGTCCCTGAACATCTGCTAAAACAAATCAGCAATAAAAAGCATTGGAAATTCGGATTAGTTCTAGATAGATAGCAAATATTATTAGCTTTAAGATGAATTTTCTGTCAGAAATATAAACATTTCGATGTAATTAGAACTAATGTTATGCTTGCAATTTAGTGGACATACCATAATATAAACAATCCTTATCTGGTGGTTTGTTTCAACAATGCTGGTGTTGCGTGTGAACCAAGAAGCTAGCTGGTTGCTTACAAAGTGTGGCTGGCAGCTGGCCTACTGTGCCTCCATGAACCAACCATCTCCTCCCCACCTTTCCACAATAATCTCTGTTAGGTGAAGCTGTACAGTTAAGGGCTTAATTATTGCTCTATTTGTCTTTTTAAAAATACCAACACCTGTGGGAGAAGTGTATTGAGCACTTTTGTGTCACCCACACCTTGGCTAACTATTCCTTACATTTGTTTATCAGATCCCTTTTGTCTCCCTGATAACACAAAACAGCACCCAACACAAAGAGAGTGAAAAGGCAGAGACTAGAATACAAAGGACCGGGTGTCAGAGTCCTGACTCATCCTGGAGGGTCATCAGTTATTTGGTTGGAGATTCAGTTTCCTCTTTTACAAAAAAGAGGATGATAGTGGTGGTGACACTTGTCCTGCCATTGCCAAGGTAGGATCATGGGCGGGTGGTGGGTCAGTGCAGCTGCGAATGTGAATGGGTTTTGAAACCCTAAACAGGCCTTTGCAAATGTAGACTCCTGCAGCATTTGATGAATTACCAAGATGAGCTAGATGCTGCTTAGAGATGCAAACAGATCATTTCATCACAACTGCATCAAGATCTGAGAGGACCTGTCTCCTACATACTTCCTGTGGAAAACACTAAGTGAGACTTTTTTCCTTACCTCTTGTTATAAAACTTTTCAATCCTATGTAAAAATTGAAAGGAGTGTGAGCACGCATATGCTTCTTTCTTTCTTTCTTTCTTTCTTTCTTTCTTTCTTTCTTTCTTTCTTCTTTGTTTCTTTCCTTTCTTTTTGCCTTGTTTGATGTTTCTTAAGATAATTTGTCTGGTAACCAAAATGTGCAAAGTAGAAACTGAGTGAGTTCCCTCCTTTGTGCTCTACTTGGGCCTATTATGTCTAATAAGAACCTCAAAGGTCAACTTTCCACGCCCTCTTCAAAACATTCACCTTGAAAAAGTAGTTCAGGAGACAAGGGAAATGTTTTTATTTGTGTGTAAATCTTGTTGGAGTCGGCAGAGAGGGTGAGTGTATTTTTTCAAAAAGAGAAAGGAAAAGAAAAAGACTTTTTTATTATTGAAAACACTAAAATAAAACAAACAAACACTATAAAAATGTTCAAACAGCTTTGAATATGGGTTTATTCTGTGTGCTCTGTACCTGAAGAAAAGCCAAGGAAAAAAGATAATATCTTTTATTTTTTGGTAACAGGAATCAAACTTATGACCTCATGCTTGACAGGCAG